CCCCCCCCCCCCCCCCCCCCCCCCCCCCCCCCCCCCCCCCCCCCCCCACCGCCCCCAACCCCACCGCAAACCCCAGCCCCAGCCAAGAAGCCTACGCCCCCCAAGCGACCGCCCCCAACCACCATGCTGCAAATACCGCGTGAAAACAACGGCCACCACATCTGCGGGCAAAATCTGGCGGAAGTGATGCGCCACCGAGCAAAAAGCCTGTAAATACTGCATTAAACAAAGGGCCAAGGATTTCACGCATCTGTTGGCAACATCTGGCGGAAGTGAGCTGTGAATCACTTCCGCCAGATGTTGCCCCGTCAACAACCAGCACACCCTCACACCCACAACCCACGCCGCACATCATGCCGAACAACCGGCACAAAACATGCAAACCCACCCCGCGCCCATTCAACCAGCAGCCAACGCCCAGACACCCACAAACCCTAACCCTGAACTATAAACCCTAAAACTCCACCCCCCTAAACGCCAAACCCCAAACCCCAAGCCCCTAAACCCTAACCCTGAACCTTAAGCACCAAACCCTAAACCTTAAACCCCTTGAACCCCAAACCCTTAATCCCTTATCCCTATGCTTGAACCGTTAACCCTTAAGCCCCACATCCTCAACCCTAAACCCTCCAAACCCCAAGCCGCCAACCCTAAACCCTAAACCCAACCCTGAACCGTATAACACCCTATATAACCACAAACCCTAAACCCACACCCACCCGCCCACCCAAGCAAGCAAGCAGCAGCACGACAGCATCAACGTTAATGGCAACAGCACAACAACAACAACAACAACAACAACAACAACAACAACAACAACAACAACAACAACAACAACAACAACAACAACAACAACAACAACAACAACAACAACAACACTAGCAACAACAGCAGCAGCAACAACAACAACAACAACAACAACCAGAAACTCATGTTATAGTGGTTCACCATGATATTTATTTATAGATGTTAGTTTTACATATAATTAACACTAAACAAAACCCTATTTAGTTCGTCATGTTGTAGGTCATTCTTGTTTCTACATGAGTATGATAAGTTGATTCACATATATCAATCTATGAATTGCAGGCGAACCGTAAGTATTACTGTATAATACTACAGACATAATTTAATGTTGGGGTTTATACGGTCTATGGAGCCCAAGGTTTAGGGTTTAGGGCACGGGCAGCTGAAACCACAACTTTTTGGCTACTGGCGGACTTTGGACGCTGCTGTATACTGCCACACAGGACACACATCTGCTGGCTTTCGGTCGAAGTGATATACACTGCTTGCATGATCGACGTATAACTGCTCTTCCACGCCGCAGGTGTGGCCTTTAAGACTATATACAACGGCGAAGCACGCCCTCAAGCTACACGGCGGCAAACGCCCTTTTTAGACTCAGTCGCGGTAACCGCGCTCCCGGTAGCTCTGCCACTGACGATTCTGCATGGCAGCCTTGACAGGAGGAGCGTGCTTGTACTCCTCAACCATATAGCGAATCTCGCGCGCCTGGCTGTGACCAATCGCCGTGCAGAGGCGCCTGAGCTTGTCGCTCCAGCTGTTGGCCTTGACGGGCTCCACGCGTGCAGCGAGTTCATCCGAAAACCGCTCAGCCAGCTCCTTGAGCTCCCTCGCGACACCATCGCGCTCGTACGTGGCCAGCAACACAGCGACTTTTGTTGCGCCTCCGCCACGGTTCTTGTCCAGTGGCTGACCAACTTGTAGATCCACCTCACGGCCAACGTAGCTCTCGCGATGACCGCGCCCTTTGCCGCTCTTGCCGCCTCTGCGATCCGACGCACCAGCATTGTCCGCGGAGCGCTGCGCTCGCCCCCATGCCTCACACGAGGAAGCTGGAAAAAGGACATTCTGCCACGTTGGGCGCTCCTCCCGCCCCGTTGGGTGCTCCTCCCGTCCTGTTGGGAGCTCCTCCCGCCCCGCTGGGCGCTCTTCTCGCCTCGTTGGGCGCTCTTCTCGATCAAGGGGGCGCCTGTCCTCGCGCCGCTCCTCCCGCCGTGCACGGCGCCGCTCTTCCTCCTCATCCATGTCCTCGCGCTGCCTGCGCCTGTGTGTCTCGCGAAGATCGCGCATCCGCTCTTCGTGTTCACGCAGCTGCTCTTCCATTTCCACGCGACGAGCGCGCGCATCCTCCTCCATCCGCTTGCGAAAGCGTTCCCACTCCTCAACACCAGCAGCAGCAGCAGCAGCAGCAGCAGCAGCAGCAACAGCAAAACAAAAACACGCACACACACACACACACACACACCACAGACCACAGACCGCAGACCGCAGACAACAGACAGCAGACAAAAGACACCAAACACCAAACACCACCACCACCACAACAAGAAGAAGGTAGCACGCGCATCTGCTGCCGCGGGCGTGTGTTGTTCATTTTTTGGAGGTTCCTGGTCTAAAGTCTTAAAAGCCAGAGTTTTGTGTGGCTTTCGCGAACAAGACGATGTTTCGGAGCTTTTTTTCGTAGTAGTTTGGTCTTGTTTTTGAGGTTTTTGCGAACGTGTCGCAAATACCGTGCTGTCCGTCCTTTGATTTTGTTGACTTTGAGGGTCCGTTGCGAAGTTTTGGTCTCCACGTGCCCTGACCTGTGTGCGGAGCTGTCCTGTGTCTGCCTGGCATCCATGTACCGCCTCAGGTCCTCGTGCCCTTCCATGCGCAGGATCATATCCTCGAGTCTCTGCCAAGCCTGATCCCAAGAAAAGCTTTCACAGCCCATATGCAATTTTGCAAGTGTTGTTGTCCTACCTCCTTGTTGTTTTGCTATTGCAAATAAGTTGCCGCAGGAGTTTCAGGAAGCCGAAGCCGTTGTCGCTTCCTCGAAGGCTCGCCTTGCTCTGCGCCGGGGTCTTGTAGATCGCTCAAGCCCAGGACTTCACCCTCAGCACATTCGTTTGCCTCGACGCCGGAGTCAGCGTCCCAGATTTGTGCGTTCATCCGCCTTAAAGGGCAGGCTACTGCTGCAGTTGGAGCAACGCCGTCCCTGATGCGTGTGTTCATCCGCTTCAGGGGGCAGTCTGCCATGAGAGCCTACAACGGTCAGGCAAGGATCAGCAGCCGTTTCCTGGAACACGGAGCCCGAGAGCGAGCTGCAGTTTGCAAACATGATGCAACAACTTACAGTCACCCATCCGTCATCCATCCAAATGTGTTGCTTCATGTGCAAGAACGTGTTGAAGCAGTGAGCAATGTAGCCCCATGTCTGTAAAAACTGAGACCCTGGCAGAGAATGCCCTCGGAGTCCGCCTTGCCCTCGTGGGAGTCCGCCTACCCCGGGGGAAAGCGGACTCCCATGCCGAAACCCGAGTTTTAAGCAGACCCAGGTTTTTACGAGAGCCTCGATGACTTGATGTCACTCTCTCAGTGACGAGAAAGATTTGCTGTCACTCTCTCAGTGACACCCCTTGCCGAGGTTGCGGCCGAGAAGGTGGACTCAGGGCCCGAAACCCAGGTTTGAAGGAGCACCGATTGCTTGATGTCACTCTCTCAGTGATCAGGAAAATTGGATGTCACTCTCTCAGTGACTAGAAAGGTTTGGTGTCACTGTCTCAGTGACCAGTCTGATACTGCAAACTCAGATAGTACTATTCCGACCACACAGAGGCCAGCACCGTGTGGCTTTCCGGAGCCAGGCATTCAAATCGGCCTGTCAGTCAGCGCAGGCACGCCTTCATGTCACTTCTGGCCACACCGAGGCCAGCACCGTGTGGCCTTGCGGAGCCAGGCGCTGAAAACGGCCTGTGAGTCAGTTCATTGTGTCATGACGTCGGTGCGACCACTGAGAGAGTGGCCCACCCATCGCCGTGACAGCCGCTGAGAGAGCTGCTGTTGCTGTGCAAGACTAAGCATCAAAGCAGCACTCTCCCAGTGCTGAGCTGAGGCCGAGAATCAACACTCTCTGAGCGCAGATTGCTACAGCAAGTGCTGTGCTGAGTGTTCAAACAAGCACTCTTCCAGCGCTGATTCTTTTGCTGTAATGCCGAGGCCGGCACGGTGTGGCTTCCCGGACGACGGAGCCTGTCAGGCAAAGAAATTTGCTGTCACTGTCACTGCAGCCAATGCATCACTGTCAATCCCGGCACGACCTTAACGTGGTCACTGAGACATTGAATTGGCCGAACCATCATGGTCACTGAGAGAGTGACTGTGCAAGAAAGACCAAGTCCCAGCGCTGAGGTGACAACTGTGTGAGAGTGAGAAAGTGAGAGAGAAAGAGAGAGACAGAGAGAGAGAGAGAGAGAGAGAGAGAGCGAGCAAGAAACAGACAGAAGAACAAGAGAAACCAAAGAGAATGGTGTCAGACGTGTTATTCTGCAGGTTTATGACTGTTTGCGTGTGTTCGCTGGGAGCCGTAAAAGCTCGATGTGTTACGACATGCCACTGCCTGCGTCCTACGCAACCGAGGCGGAAAAGGTTGATGCGCTGTGGGTTACTGTAACATCGGCGATAGAGAAGCTGAACTGTTTGTGGTCGGAAGTGGCTTTACTCCGTTCCCAAGTAGACAAGTTCAATTCTTCGCAATCGGCAGTGAGCTCACTCCGTTTGCAGTTTCGCGACCTTGAGGAGGGCCTGCTGGAGGCGCTGGTCAACGTTGAGTGCCGCCTGGACGTGCTTCATCGCTCACAGACAAGCAGCGATCCTCATCGCTCACAGACCACCAGCGATCTTGGGCCGGAGACAACCGATACTTGCCTGGATTGCATGGACTGACTGATCGGATCTTCGCAATGAAGTGGCCTGGCCAAGCAAGGCTGGACGTGTGTCCCTGCATTGATTGAAGAGGTGAATCTTTAAGTACTCGGGCCCTCTAGGAACCTCAGGTCTGAGGGCTATGGATGCACCAAGGCCAACAGAGCATTACATACGTCGTTGCGAATCAAAAGACAGTCAGTTTGCATCTGTCCGAGTGCAGTGCTTTTGCAAGACCGACATGATGCAATCTACAAAGTGTAACCAACCTCTGCAACTTCAGGCGCACTCTCTCAGTGCCCCTCATGGTGCTGCTCTGTCAGCTGTTCAAGGTGCACTCGTCTCTCAGATTGCTGAAACATGGTCTCTGTACTGAGAAGCAGGCTGGATTGCCGGCTGCGCTGAGAGAGCGCAGGCGAGAATCAGTGACCGAGCATATTGACACTTACTTCTGCCGGTGTACAATCGATCGGCTCAGCCCCAGGCCTCCTGGATGTGGCACTGACCTTGCCATGTCACACAGGCAGGCCGGTTTCTTGAATCTTCTGGAGTCTGCAATGAACATGTGACTGCTCTATCCCATGCTGTCGACGGCATACATTCTCATTTCAGTGCCGAGTTTGCGAAGGCTTAGCAGACTCTTAGTCCCGAGCATGAACAGATCTTACATGATACTTCCAAGAGTGTCATGCGTGAGAGTCAGACAAACTATCATGCATGATAAGTCGAGGTGTCAGTGACACAACACAGTCAGGTAGATCTCCAGAATGCCAATAGAAGACACATCATGCATAAGAGTGAGTGACACAACATCTTATGCATGTGCTGCATCACAAATCTGTAACAGTAAACAGAATCTGTATGATGGCGAATCGTCATGGCTGGTGGCAAGACGGCCAACAACCAAAAGCGAAAGCACGGTCGCAACACGGCCAACAACCAAAAGCGAAAGCACGAGGAGCAGCCCCTCGAAGAAACAACAGGGGAGAAGCTCAGGACGAAAGAGAGAGGAGACGCTTTCGCGAAGAGCACAGCCGGCTGATGGAAATCCTGGACCTGAACCGCAGACTCGAGTACGACCTTCAACTCGCTCAAGGAGAAGTCTGGACGGCAGAGATCGAGCGGGACCAGCTTCAGGAGTCGCTTGCGCAGCTTCAGGAGACGAATGCACAGCTTCAGCAGGCGAACCAAAACATAAAGGGCCATTTGTCCAACGAACAGGCGAAGGTCTCCGGAGAGCAAGAACGGGGCATGCGGCTGCTTCGAGACATCGACAGGCTTATGAGAGAGAAGGAGGAGCTGGGGGCCCAGCTTGCATCCACGGCGAGAGAGAAGAATGAGCTGGCCGACAAACTGGCACGATGTGAGAAGCGGTTGGAGTCCGCACAGTTGGATGGAGCAGGCTTGAAGCGACAATGCAACCAATTGGACTTCGACTTAACAAGAACGAAGGAGGAGAACACTGCCATCCGACTCGACTTCAAGAAGTACAAGGCAGGATAGCGTATAAGGTGTATTCGTCTCTTGTATTGTTGGCCTGGAGTCTCGCTCCAGCTGTCATTGTGCAGGAGAAGACAGAAAAGGTCATCGAGGAGTTGACAGTCGAGAAGGCTGTGAGCTGAGTATTCACAGCCCTGGGTTGAATCACAGATTGAGCCCGAGTTTGGTCCATGTCAGGACCGCTACGTGCTCCTTTGCCGAAGCTTCGAGAGCCAATGGAACCAGGCTGCTTATGTTGCTGCTTCTGTTGCTGGCAGAAAATCGTAATACTTCTGGTATCATGCTGCAATATGGGAAGCTGAGACAGGTCCCAGTGCCCAAGGTGGTGCTTGTTCCAAAACAGGCATCTGTGCCCGAGGCCCGATCTCTAACTGGTGCTGCTTCCGTTCGTGTGCCATGAAGCGTTGAAACTCCATGCAGGTGCTTGCTCCTCCTATTCCGCCCAAGACATCTGTGGCCAAGGCCCGATGTCTATCTGGCGCTACTTCTGTTCGTATCTCGATATTGGAAGAAGGTACAGCCCGAGACTATGGCCTCAAACTCACAACATGATGTGACCGCGGAGGCCTGGCCTTTCGTTCCTTTGATTTGAGCTAGTGTCTTCCTGCACAGGGCTCCAAAGCCGGTCCAACAGAAGGGCTGCCAAGGCCCAACTCTCGATGTTTCACACACGGACACACACACACAGAGACATACACATGATGTTTGATTGGGGAGGCGCCTGCTGTCTCAACACCAGAGCCCCCTACAGCAAAGGCCAGGTCATTGGCTAGTGGCCCCTTAGTTTCGCAGCTGTCGTCTAACACAACCCTTGTTTGCAGAGGTGCTTGCCTCAGCAAAAGCATCGTCGGCGAGTACGGGGTCAGAGCCAAAGGCTCGCATCCAGGCTTATCATACCATGCTTTTCTGAACCTAAAGTTGGGTAGGTGCACAAGTCGCCGGCCAGAGCTGCGACGGCGATGGCCGGAAGCCAAGTTGATGTTGAGAAGGGATTTCCAATCTTTTCTTGGCGATTCAACATCGGAGGCTCCCCCCGTGAAGAAACAGCGCATGATGGCACCGACACCCAAATATGTTCCGGTGACTACAGCCCCAGACTCAGTATTCCTTAGATCTCAGCCAGGAAAAAAAAAGGAAGTGGGTGGAGTGTCACAGTGAGCCCCTTCACCAGCCTTGTAACCACCATCATGTCAGGTGCCCCTGCCAAAGACTCCAATGGCAGAGGCTTTGAACCCAGTGCGGCCAAGTTCGATTCGTTCTATTAGGATCCATGATCCATGTCTATTGTCAGGTTCCCGTCCCAATGCCACGGACTCCGGTGGATGCTTTTGCAGAGGTCTCGAACCCAATCTGATTCATTCCATGTGGATAAATATTCGCGGTCACTTGCCCATTCTGTGAGGCTTTCAAGCCAATGAGTCCGCCAGCGGCAGAGGCTGCGAACCCTGTGGGCTGCGATTCGTTCTATGTGCATCCACCATGTTTATTGTCAGGTCCCCGCCCCGCGAACACCCTTGGAGGCCACACCCACCTACAGCCTGCCCATCATGTTCTGCATCAGACATGAGCAGGCGCCGAATCGTCCTGCTCCCAAGACACCCAGAGAGGCCGACTCGGTCAATCTCCTGAAATCGATCCTATTGCATGTGCACCTGGGGCAGGTGCACGTGCGCAAATCCCCTCCGACACCTGTTTCGCCGGAGCCGCATACGCCTACTACCGAAGGGGAGTAAAGTAGCGAGCACGGCGAAAAATAGAGCGATTGCTGATTTCGGTGAGCTCGACATGAGAACACTTGAAGATTTGTGAATTGTGCATATGTTTGTACATCACATGCAGATATGTGCCAGGCCAGAAAATCTCTTTCCTAGCAAAAGTCCAGCACTCAGAGTTAGCACTGACAAAGTGACAACGATTGCTACTCGACTCAGGCCGGCACTCAGACTCATCGTCGTCGACGGGACAAAGTCCTGCGAGGAGCCGGGCATTCGTTTACTGGCCAAACCTAGTCCCCACACACCACACACCCCACACAACCCACACCCCACACACCCACACCACCACCACACCCCACACCCCACACCTCACACCCCACACCCCAGACCCAACACCCCACACCACACACCGCACACCCCACACCCCACAGTCACACCCCACACCCCCCACCCCGCACCCCGCACCACACACCCCCTCACCCCCGCACCCCCGCACCCCCGCACCCCACGCACCCCACGCACCCCACACCCCACACAGCCCACAAACCCCACAAACCCCACACCACCACCACACCCCACCCCACACACCCCTGACACTCTCCCAGTGTCTGTTTCAGGCACTCTCTCAGTGCCGGTTTTGGCCCTCTCTCAGGGCCGGGACACTCTCTCAGTGCCCCTGGTTTCGGTCCTCTCTCAGGACCGGGACACTCTCCCAGTGCCCCATGTTTCGGTACTCTCTCAGTACCGGGATGCTCTCTCAGCACCCCTGCTGCTGGTGGCTCTCTCTCAGAGCCACGCAGCAGCCAACCCTGAACGAACCCCGTCCTTGCCGAAGTGCTCGTAGATGTTCAGTCAAAGATCACGAGTCGATGGCGAGACGGTGGAGTTTGGTGAGTATTAGGGCTTAGGGGTGGTGTGGCGCAGGGCTTATGTGGGTGTTATTATGAGGATTTAAGTAATTAGGGTTTCGAATCTACAAATCACATATGGTCTAAGGGTCTAAGGCTCTGGTTTTAAAGGGCTTAGAGAGCTTAGGGCGGAACTTATTTAAGGGGTCTAGACGATTTAGGGCCGAGGATTCAGCGTTTTAGGGCATCCCAGCAAAGGTTTACAGGTTCTATTTAGGGATATTGGATTTGGGAACCACAAGCCACTGAAACTCCCAACCCCCTAAATCAATGACCCGTGCTAAAGCCACACCCTTTTCATTGCTTTGGAAAACAAACGACCCTCAGGGGTCCAAATCTCCTAGGTTTGAGCCCTAGAGTTTTGTTGGTTGGAGCAATTGCAGAGTTTTCTCTTCGAAACATATCCATGTAAAACCCATCTGCTGCTTCGACTGAGTTTCGCTTTTCGGAAAACGATTTCCTTTTGATGTATTTATCAAAATCCGGAATCCATCTTCTTTGTGTACTTGCTTTCAAAGGTTGTTCTTTCACTCGTTGTGGTGTCAAATCAGGATGATCAATTTCATGTGCAGTGCCATTTTTAACAAAAACAAAAAGGAACAGAAGCCCTGAGAAAAGGGACGGATGCCACGAAAATCCTTTGCAGGGCGGGCTGTTGTGCCAGGGCATAAAGTGCTGGCATGAGCGGGTCCCCTTGTTCCCCACCCTCGCCTTGAGCGATGAGGTGGCTACGGCCGGAGTCATCTGTCCACGTGTAGGAGCTGGGCGTGCCGTAAAATTGACGGGCGAAGGGCACGAGCGGTCGCAGGTCAGGGTGACGGAGCAGGGCACCGAGCATGGCTTCCCGGGAGACGTGGTCGAACGCGCCGACGGCGTCAACGGACAACACGGTTGCACGCTGATCGAGCTCTGTGGCGGCTCGCAACACCCTGGCAAGGGCTTCGGTGCCAGCTCGCGTGCTCAGGCCAAACTGGTGCGGGAGACAAACACCTTGGAAGTGTGGCGCAAACGCTTGGGCCAACACGCGGCCGACCAGGCGCCGAAGGACATCCCCGATGACGAGGGCGCGGACGCCGCGTCCGTTGGGTTTCTGCAGCGCGGTGAGCCGGCCGACGCGCAAAGCAGCCAAAACGGGCGGCGGGAGGTCGGCACGTGCAAGGCGGCAGGCTGCACGGTGCAAAAGCTGGGTATCACCCTCGTCGTCGAGCAGGATACGCAGATGCTCGTTGGTGGCCCCTGACGGTCCAGCTGCCGCCCCCCTCCTTGCGGACCGCAGACATGCCACGAACGCTGGGAGCGGGAAGGGACAGGGGTCGGCGGCTTGGTACGTGGCAATGTCTTGCGGCAGCGGCGCGTAGGGAGTCGGGGGGCGCCGTGAAGGGTCCCGCAGCTCGGCGAGGGTTGCGTCGGTGCCGGGTGCAAGTGGTTCTGCAACAAGCGCGCGACCGGCGGCCGAAAGCTCGCCGATGTGCACAAGGGCTGTAGCTCGGGAAGCGCGAGCAGCGAGGTCGTCCGTCGGCATGCCCGTGCGGGACCGGGGAGCAGCGGAACCCGATGCCAGCTGCAGTAGTTCTGGCCAAACGCCGCGTGCGAAGAGGTCACAGCGGCGATCGAGCTCCGCAGGTGGGATGAGCGACTCTCCGCTTGAACGCTGCAGAAGCATGCGAGGTGCCAGACAGAAAAGCTTCCAGCCCCGCAGCTCCTGCGCTGGCGACTCACGGTCGGCAATTAGCTGCAGGCCCGCGTGGAGAGCCGTACGCAGGGCTCCGCGGAGGCGCGCGGGAACCCCCTGCAATGTGAGGACGCGCTGTTGCAAAATGTCCTGAAGATCGACGCCGTCAAGGGAAGCCAGGCCCGTCAGCAGACCGCTTTCGGCTGCAGAGACGCGGCGCTGGGCTGCCGTTGTAAGGGCAGGCGCCTGGGATGCGAGGGGAGGGCCGTCGTGGCCGTCTCCCGGCGCTGAGGCTGGAGCGGGAGGGGAGGCGGCAGGAGGCGAGGAGGCGTGCCGGCCTCGGCCTCGCCCGCGTCCGCCACGTCGGCCGCGGCAAGCGGAGGCGAGGTGCTGCTCCGCCCGAGCTGCGGCATCTGTGTGCACGTGGGACCGCAGGGGTGGCTGCGCTGGCGCGGGAGCATCGGGAGCTTCGGGCGGGGCACTCGCATGTGTGGGTGCTTCCAACGGAGCGGCGGAGTCAGGGGCTGGTGGCGCGGGCGGCACATCTTGACCTTCCTGGCCCCGTCTCCTACCCCTCCTCCGGCCCCGGCTGGTGCAGGGGGGGCGGCTGCAGCCGGCCCTCCGCCGCCCACAGCACCGACAGGATCGTAGGGGTCTTGGTCGGGCAGTCCCAACGATAGCCTCGCCGCCCTCCACATCAACCCAAGTTGCGTGGCTTCGAGGATCGTAAAATCCCGCACCGCGGTGGGATCAGCCGCGGTGGGAGAAGGCACGCGCGAGGCCCTGATGGAAGCTACAATCGCAATGGCGGGAATAGAACCCAGCACACGAAGTGAGGGTGCTCCACCAAGGGATCTTTGCAGCACATTCCAGGCCTCATCGCTAACACCTGCCAGATCCTTAGCCGCAGCCAGGGTAGTCACGCCGGCTATCTCGGCAGCGGTGAGGGGCCCCATAGCAGGGGGCCCGATTGCCCCACCGCCAGGTGCACCTCCCCCTCCTGCCACTCCCGCCATGCTCCGACAAGACAGCCGATCTGTGACTCCCGGTGGCGGGCTTGACCCACAAATGGCCACGGGAGTCAGTTGTTATCCCTAACCTCCAGGCACTGCAGCACGATTGTTATTCCTTACACGCGTGTAGTCCACAACAAGCGGCCGCGCCATGCGAGCAAACGGGCATCGAGAGCACACCCAACGTTCGGTGTGCGACGCGAGGTCGACCTGCCACATCATGAGCGTCAGGCAGTGGTGGCAGCACGGAAGCGGGACGCGCTGGCTACTTGCGAATATTGCCGTACAATTGCCGTACATAACCTCATTAACTCGATGGGGCTAGGATATGCTTATTCCCATGTCCACGCACAAGAAGGATAACTTCACACAGGGCGGGACGACTTACCGCAACCACTTGTAACATGCAACACGTTCATCCCAGTACCCAACTGGAACATGCCCGGGGCACTGGTGGTGCGGGAAGGACGTGGAGCCGGAGGGACTGCTGACTCGTCGCTCCAGCGGCCCCCGGCTTCAGCAACGAGCGACGGATCAACGAACCGCTGAAGCCTCCTCGGGCGAGTTCCGGGTAGCGTGCGATTGTGCGAACAAAGTCGAAGCAGCGACGGTTGTCGGCGCGGACTTGCGGCGCCACGACCCGACCCACCGGACCGACCGCCTCGGCGAGCTACTTGGGCCCATGCCCTCTCGACGACGCATCCACGCCGGGGCAGAAGGGCGGACGATGTGGACGCTGCATCCGAGGCAAGCGGACCGGACTCAGAGCGTAGGGGATGCGAGCATTTTCGAGCGGCAGGAGTTAAGGCCGGAAGCTCCGGAAGCATCCTGTTTTTTTTGTTCGTGCCTTTTTGCGTCCGCTCGAACGGTCCCAACGCCATCTAAGCTACCTAGCTGTCTCTAGTGCGTCGCACTATCGGAGCGGCAGCCGACTGGGGGCGCTCGCATTCGCAAGTTCAAGCACGTCGCCAAGTGGAACCACGTCAGGCGCACCAGGCCGCGGCGGCATGGACCAGACTCCAAGCGCAGAGCCGGAGGAACGTCGCATACACTCCCAGTCCGGCCTGCTCCCCCATGCCGTGAAGCGGTGTGCAGCCCCCCGCACACACGCAAAGGCGATGCTGGTTGGCCCTCGGCAGCGGTGGCAGATGGAAGCGTGTCCGCAGGGAGGACGTTTCGGAGCAAACGTTGCGTGCGAGGCTAAGGGTTCGGAAATCGGGTAAGGGCTGCAGCTTGCGCAGCAGGTCGGCCGTAGCTTCGACGGCAGCGGCGTTGGCTTTGACGAGGGGTAACTCTTGGGCTCGCTTTTCAGAGTGGTGCAGGGATTTGTCGCATCTCGGGTCAGGGAATCTCTGACGGCCTTACATGCCATGCCAGCTGAAGCAAAGAAATGAATGCAACCAGGTGCGGCAGTGTATTCCTGCCTTCTCAGTATCTTCCTGCAGTGGTGCCGTTCAAAATCCGTTTCCTTGCTATTGCTTGATGCCGCTGTCGCATCTGTCGCTGAGCCGTGGTGGTTTTCAGATACACCACACATGGGCATCCCTGTGCGGCCCCGCCCTGTGGTTCGAAACTCACCTTATCAGGATTATCAGGTGGCTCACGCAGTGTGACACTTCCAAAAACGCTGGGCTCGGTGACTTTGCCTTACCGCTTGTCTTTGAAGCCGTGCGCCGCCGACAACACTCGGTCAAGCGTGCTGCTAAACACAACGTCGGAAGCATGTCTGCGATTGCCCCAGTTGACTGACGTCCACAACTGGCGGGCCTCCGAATGCTGTACTTGTCAGAGCGTTATAGCGCTATATCCATTGTGGTGGTGCGTCGTTGACATCTGCTGCCAAAAAACGGGCTTCGGCAGGTTTGGAAACTGAGTGGATGACTTGTCTAAACAAATTCTATACGGGGTCCTCGTGGGGGGCGGGGCGGGGTATGGCGGGGTACCCTGCCCAAGTGCTGATACGGTGCTACGCAGAACGGCACATGACAGCACTCCTTCTCCCAAAACCCCGCCGCGTACGGCTCCAGGAGGTACACAACGAGAACCAGCGTCCAGGCAGACACCGAACAGTGTGTTAAAAACTCATGGTGGCAAGCACTGTGTTTTTTTGTTTTGCGCACCCGTACGAAACGTCCCAGTGTGAGCTGCGTTCTACAACTACCTCTGCCGGCGAGGCCCCGCGCAGTCGGCATCAAGCCCTCAGCGCGCCTCATCGAGGAGTTCGTGCAGCTCTGGCTCCGGCCCGCTCCCCAGGTCACCGGCGCGAGGCAATTTAAGCAGCGAGGCGGCCAAGGTGCGCTGCGGGGCGACAGCGAGAAGGCCAGACCAACGCGCGACCCAGGCAGTGATCGCGCTGGGTCGCAGCATGGTGGGGACGGCGGCGGCACAGTGCCGCGCCAACAAGCGCAGGAATTGCACAACCGGCGCTAAACCTGCCGCCAGCCGCATCTCCGGGCACGGCCGAGTTCAGGGTTCGTGCTCTGGCGTTGGTGCCGAGCTGCGGCGCCTGGACAGCGCAGCCAGGCTGCGTGTCCGCGCGAGAGTGGGCTTCGCTTTGCCGCATTAGGGCGGACACTATCGTGGAATCGTGGCATCAGGAGCAAGCTTTGACCCGTGCCACAGCGGCAGGCCGTTGGCGACGACTTCGATGCGCCGCTTATCGGTGATAGGCGCATCGAAATTCATGTCAGCGAGCCGGACGTGGCGAGCGACCCTGGCACCTGCTTCTCGGCAAACACGGGCAACGGCATGCTCTAGGGGCTGTTGGACAGGACTCCGGAGGTGGCGCACGCAGCGCAGTGATCTCTTAAGATTTCAAAAAAAGCGCACCTGCGCGGCGCAAGCGGCAGGGGCATGCTGAAACGCCGCAGCAAGAGAACGCGGAACAGGGCGCTGGAGATAGTGACGTCGCTGTGTGGGCAGGACGTTGATGGCTCTGGCGGCAAAAGGCCCTGCTTGCGAGAGCAACAGCGCACGGGACGCAGGGGAGAGCTTCGTCTCGAACGCGTGGTCATCGCATCTCATCGCAGGCTCGGGCAGCGAGCCGCTGCCAGCCTTTGAACCACTAGGGCCCGGAGTCCTCGCCGGGTGGACGTGTTTTGTTTGGGAGCGGGCCAGCGCCCTAGGTATCCCAGTCCGGTGCATCGTAGCCGGCCTGTCACAGGTGTGTTAGCGCAGCAACTGCGGCGGCAGTGGAGGGGAGGGCGGCGTCGCCTCGCAGGGCTTGGAGGAGTCTTGCGGCGGCTGCCGGCGCCAGTGCATTGATGACAGGCAGCGTGTCTTGCCAGGATGCCCAGCGTGCAGCACTGCTGTCGTCACAGGCGGAGCGGAGCCCGAGTCCTCCAAACCAGCGGCTACCGAGCGATGGGATTTTCGCTGCGTCTATCTTCTGGCTCTCCATTGCTATTCAGAGCTGCCGGACTTGCTTTGTAGAAGCACGCTTGCGCGCTAGAAGCGTTGACCCAGCTTGTGCTCAGCGAGTTACTGATTGCGGACAGTCGGGTCCTCGTGTGTGGGGCAGGTGGTGCTCCGCCCAAGCTGCGACAATTCTGGGGTCTGCAGCACGGTCAGCAAGGCTTCGTCTATGCGGCGACCATTGGCCGATGTCCATGTCGGAAACACATGGAAAAGCCGCGTGCAGCGCCGAGTTGTTTTGCAGGAATTTGCAGGTATCCCATGTTGCAGGTCAGCGGAGTATGTTGTCAGATCTGTTGAGCAAAGGGCGGGCAGGAAGCTGATCGCCAGAGTTCTGGGCATCCTTGACCCCTGCCGAAGCCGGACGGCGGACTGAGTTCTACTGGTAGTTTCCGTGCGGTCAAACGCGCTGAGGGCAACGCGATAGGATGGTGGCGTGTGCAAGCTTTGGTGGCAGCGTGGAGTGCAACGTCGAGCCGAGCACCCGCATTGAAGATCCGGCTTTCGATCCACGCCGAGGATAAAAAAAGAAACCGGGCCAGGCTGGGTGACAAGGACTCAGCAGCTCTCATTCATTCTCATTCGGGGTCCGGTCTCGCTGCTGCGCAGAAGTGCCACATATGCCTGCCTGTAAACCGAACTGGTACGGCTGCGTCGGTACGGCTTGGAAAGGCTGTTCTGGATGTACTGGAACCCCAAACCCCGGTGAACCCTGAGTAGCCGATCGTCTTGTACTCCGAGTGGCGGCGACCGATTGGTGACGAGTTTGGGAAGGCGAGTTGGGAGAGTCTGCGGTATCTCTGTCCATGGAAGAGAAGACCCAACGACAGAAATCTCTGCTCTGGTGTTCCACTTCCTGATGCACTACTTTCCGGTTCAAGCTGTGCACTGGGAATTGGTGCAAGGCAACCCGGATGTCAAAGGCATATGGTTAGAAGGTCTAGGCAGTGTAGGAGAAGGTTGCGCGCCTCTCCACGCCCGAGCCGCTCGAGAAGAGCAGAGCGCAGCGCAAGAAGCGCGCGAAGCTCGAGAGCAAAAAATGGAGGCCTGGCATCGGATTCGCCGAGCGTCTCAGACTGTGCTGAAGAGATCAGTCAGTTTAGCGCTCCAGCGTTGTCCAAGGCGGCAGTGCACAACAGCTTGACCCGCTCTGTTGCCACTTCTGCGAAGGCACGCCGATTGGAAGGAAAAACACATTGGACACATAGCAACTTCATGGAAAAGTCGGATCCTGCTCGAAGCGCAAACGGGCGCCTGGCGTCACATACACGAGCGAATTATGCCGCAAGATGATGTACTCGCGCTGCTCTATCTACGAAGCGACCGCAGAACTGCAGAACACACCCGATTAGGAGTGCAAAAGTGATTTCGAAAAATCGAACGCGCAAGAGCGCCGCAAACCAAGGTCTCGGGACGTCTCGGGAAGAGCGAGAGACATCTCTGCGACACCCAGCAAAATTTCAGAATCACGGGAACCTTAGTGCGACCGGCGAACATATATATATATATATATATATATACCGTGGCAGCGGAGCACAAATTCAGCAAATTCGCATTCCCCGAGCCTACTTGGATTGTGATTTGCACAT